ATAAATGTTTACCCCATCCGGGTGACAGTTGCCTCTTCAGATCTATATTGGCCATCATACAGTGAGGAACTGAAGTAAAAATCCATTAATGCTGTCTCCAAGTTTCCAAGTGATTAATAGTACTACAGGCAGTCCTCAACTTACAACTACAATTGAGCCCAACATTTCTGTTGCTAAGCGAAACATTTGTTTAGCGAATTTGCTCCATTTTATGACCTTTCTTGCCACAGTTGTGAAGTGAATCTGGTTTCCCCATCGACTTTGCTTATAAGAGGATTGCCAAAGGGGATCACATGACCCGGGGACACTGCGACCGTCATAAATGTGTGTCAGTTGCCAAGCGTCTGAATTCTGATCATATACCACGTGGATGCTGCAATGGTTGAAAGTGTGAAAAATGGTCATAAGTCACTTTTTTTTCAGTGTCGTGGTAACTCTGAACTGTCAGGAAGTGAACTGTGGTAAGACGAGGACCACCTGTACCTCATTTCTTAAGGGGCGCCTGATAGAACTCTGTATTGTCCAGATAATCCGTTTTAAGGATTACTTAAGAATGATCTAATACTGATACTAATTAAGGATTAGACCAGTGGTTCTCAACCTGTGGGTCGGGACCCCATTTGGGGTCGAACGACCATTTCACGCGGGTCGCCAAACAACGCAGTCCACCATTTCCCCCCCCCCCTCTTTTCCTTAGCTGTGCTACTCCCTTTTATTCTATTGGCTTTTGAAAGCCAATAGAATAGACTCTCTTGAATAGAGTCTAATTCTATTGGCTTTCAAAAGCCAGTAGGAATTGTCCAGGCTGTCTCTGCCCTGCTGAGCCACCAAAAGTCCCATTCTGCAAACGGTGCTGCACCAGTTGAGTAGTCCTCGACTTACGACCGGTTGAGTAGTCCTCGACTTACGACCGGTTGGGGGTCACGGCATTAAAAAGGTTGAGAACCACTGGATTAGAAAACATACAAACGCATAACTGTCCCTGATTTCCATTTTCCCCGCCAGCTCTAGTTAAAATCAATCCAGGGTATCCGATAATGGTGTGCGTGTGACACACCTGTATACTTGCGTACGTATCTATGTGGCATGCTCCATTTGTCACTGTGTTCCATCAGTCACTGGCTGCTATAAAGGGAGGAAATGACACTGCTATTGTGAGCACTCAAGTGCTGTCAACCAGCGGGGGAGCTGATGGTAAGCCATTTCTAAGAAGCAAAGCCTGTACTTTGGACTCTCAGTTTCCCTCAGCAGTGATGCAAAATAAAAGTTTTATCTGGAAGAAAGGCTTGGGGGGAGGAGGGAATTGGGTTAAAGAACACTTCTTATTGATTATCCAGTCATGTGGCAGAGAGTCAAATGCCTTTTTGTAGTCAATCCATGCCACATTCAGGTTGGTCTTCCTTTTCATGCAGTTTTCCAAGATCATTTTATCTATTAGGAGTTGATCTTTTGTTCCTCTGCTATTGGGGCGGTTTCCTTTCTGCTCAGGTGGAAAGAGATTGTTTTCAACTAGATGCTGTTGTACTGCATCAGCTACCACACCAGTTAGTAATTTGAAATTTGTTGGTAAGCAGGTAATTGGCCTGTAGTTACCTGGTGTTGCCCCTTTTGCTGGATTTTTCATTATTAGGTAGGTTTTCCCAGTTGTTAGCCACTTTTCAATTTCTCATCCTTGTAGTATATTGTTGAACTGTTTGGCAATGAGTGGGTGTATAACAGTTAGATGTTTCAACCAAAACCCATGCAGTTCATCTTCACCTGGTGCTGACCAATTTTTGATTTTCTTTGCTCTGTTTTCTACCATTTTTGTTGGTATTACTAGTTCTTTCATTTCAACTTCTGTTTTATTTGCATCCACCTCTTTTAACCAAGCCGCATCCTTGTTGTATTTCTTTGGGTTATCCCATATCTGCTTCCAGAACTGCACTGTTTCTTCCTTGTCAGGTACTGACTGATTCCTTGTAGTTTCTCCATTGATGGATTGGTAGAAACGTTTCTGATTGGATTGATATTATTATTATTATTATTATTATTATTATTATTATTATTATTATTATTATTATTATTATTATTATTATTATTATTATTATAACAGAGGGAGAGAATCAAGATCACATGAAGTGTTAATTCCACTTTATAAGGCCTTGGTAAGACAACACTTGGAATATTGCGTCCAGTTTTGGTCCCCCGACACAAAAAAGTTGTTGAGTTTCTAGAAAGAGTGCAGAGAAGAGCAACAAAGCTGATTAGGGGACTGAGGCTAAAACATGGTTACAGGAACTGGGCATGTCTAGTCTAATGAAATGAAGAACTAGGGGTGACATGACAGCAGTCTTCCAGTATCTCAGGGCCTGCCATAAAGAAGAGGGAATTAAGCTATTCTCCAAAACCCCTGAAGGCAGGGGAAGAAGCAACAGATCGAAACTAATTGAGGAGAGAAGCAACCTAGAAATAAGGAGAAATTTCCTAACAGTGAGATTAACCAGCGGAATGACTTGCGTTCAGAAGTTGGGGGGTGCTCCATTACTGCAAGGCTTTTAAGAAGAGACTGGACAGCCACTGGTCTGGAATGGTACCGTGTCTTGGACTAGAGGACCTCCAAGGGGCCTTCCATCTCTGTCTTCTGTTGTTCGAACGGCACAGAAAACAAACCTGAAGGGGAACAAAAATGAAGACAGGGTCTCAGTCATCCTCACCAAAGGTTCGGTTGTCAGTTCCCCAATTGTCATTTACATGTCTCCAGAGAAGGGCCAGGAGAGATGGTTTCCTCGTGGTCCCAAGTGGTCCTTCTGCAGAGGAGGGGGAGGGGTCTTTTCAGTACCAGGGAAAGTGGCATTGATGACCATTTCCTCTCTTTACTCCACCTACCTCTCTTTTACTCCCAAGGGATGTGAAGAGAAGAGGGAGCAAAGCAGTTCCTTGGTCACCTTTCCTTTCTCTTGGAGAACCGACTGCAGAATATCTTGCTTTCAAACATGGCTTTGCAAGGAGAGGTGGGCTTTTAGCCAACTGTTTCAGCCAGAAGGGGAAAGCCCTTCAAATCAGTGGCCAAGGATTGGGACAGGGGGCTGTGAACGTGTCTGCAGTAACATCAGGAGCCAAAAGAGCAGGGCGGATGTCCACCTGCTGGTCATGGCTTATTCGGGCAGGTGGCAAGCAAGGGGGGAGGCCTCCTTTATCAAGGGCCAGGGATGAGCACCAGACCATGTCATGCTCAGCCAGAGGCCCCTCTAGGCAAGTAGGACCACTGGGTGTGCCCTGAAACAGAGGAATCTAGAAAAATAGGTGGAATGTGTTGATGGACTCCATGCGTTTTTCTAGAGGAGAGCCTCAGATGTTCTCCTGATGTATCTAGTCCTATTTCTTGCATTCCTTATAATGGGGGCCTCCGTCCTTTCTTCTACTCTCCCCTGTCTGCATTTGTGTAGAATGACCCTTTCCTTTAAAGATAATTACAGGTAGTCCTTGACTTAGGGCAGGGGTCTTCAAACGTGGCCCTTTTATGTCTTGTGGACTTCAACTCCCAGAATTCCTTAGCCAGGCACACGTAGCTTGCTTAGAAATATTACTGGGGTGCCTCATATGGACCCCCCCCGTTGCAACGCTTTTGTGGTAAAATTCTATAAATTCTTCTACTGCATATTCTATACAGCATAGCCATTTATTTCATATGTAATAGGACAAATAGGACCATAAGAAAGGCTGAGCGCCAAAGAATGGAGGCCTTTGAACTATGGTGCTGGAGAAGAGTCCTGCGAGTTCCCTGGACTGCAAGGAGATCAAACCGGTCAGTCCTAGAGGAGATCAACCCTGACTGCTCTTTAGAAGGCCAGATCCTGAAGTTGAAACTCAAATACTTTGGCCACCTAATGAGAAGGAAGGACTCACTGGAGAAGGGCCTAATGCTGGGAAAGATTGAGGGCAACAGATGAAGGGGATGACAAAGAATGAGATGGTTGGATGGAGTCACTGAAGCAGTAGGTGTGAACTTAAATGGACTCCAGAAGATGGTAGAGGACAGGAAGGCCTGGAGGAACGTTGTCCATGGGGTCGCGATGGGACAGACACGACTTCGCAACTAACAACAACAACAAGGACAAATGAGCTACCATGGAAGAAGAATTAAGAGAAGGCAAACTTATTTTATAGACTTATTAGTATCCACGTATGACATTCTGATTATTAAATGGGATCTTTTTTGAATTTCCATAGTACATTGAATCATAGCCTAACACAACGGGTCAAAAATCAACAAATATGGAAAGACATAGAGAGTGGTAACGGTTGTTAGTAGGAGAGTGGCTCGCCAGCGAGATAGGTGGCATATAAATTTTATAAATAAATTACAACAGTATTTCAGCTAGGACAGTGGTTCTCAACCTTTCTAATGCCATGACCCCATAATACAGTTCCCCATGTTGTGGTGACCCCCAACCACTTATACATCACCAGGTGCCAAGGGCGTGGCCAAAGAAAAGGGGGGAAAATGGCGGACAGCCTTGTTTGGCGACCCCCGTGAAATGGTTATTTGACTCCAAATGGGGTCCCGACCCACAGGTGGAGAACCACTGAGCTAGGACATGAGGTCTGTGAGATGCTGAAGAGGGTGGAGTTGTTACACAACAAGCGTTGTAAAAATATTTCAGGAAAAGGAAAGAAAGAGAAGAAGGAAGGAAGAAATAGGAGAAGGAAGGAAGGAAGGAAAAAGAATGAAAAGAGGGACTGAAAAACAGGAGAAGGACGGAAGGAAAAGGAAAGAAAGAGGGAAGGAAGAAATAGAAGAAAGGAAGGAAAAGAAAGAGGGAAGGAAGAAAAGGAAAGAAAGGGAAGGAAGGAAGGAAGGAAGAAGAAAGAGAAGATGGAAAAAGGAAGGAAAGAATAAAAGAGAAGGGGGAGGCGAAGGCGAGGGGGCGGGGTCACGAGGGCCCACCCTTTCCCAGCCCCGCCCCCCGGGGCCACTTCAGGCGCGGCGCAGCAGCCCCTCCCCCTCCGCCCTTTCTCCGCCCTCCGCGGCTTTCGACGCGCTCGCGGCTCGGCTCCTTTTCCCGCTGCCCGGAAACTCGCTGCCACTTGCGGCGGCGTCCACGTTGCCCGGGCCGGAGCGAGCGGGGCTTGCCTGGGCCGGCTGGCCGGGCGAGCAGGCGGGCGGCGGGGCGACGAGGAGGAGGAGGAGGAGGAGGAAGAAGAGCAGCAGCCCCGCCGCGCGCCCTGAGGCGGCGCCCCTCCCCCGCCAGGTGAGGCTTCCCTTCAGGTAGCTGGACGCCCGGGGGAGGGGGGGAGAGGGGACAGCGCGTGCGCATGCGCTGGGCAGGGAGACCGGCCGCGGGCCACGCCCCTTCCCAGCAGGTGGCGCCCCCTCCCACCGCAGTTTATTGGTATGACCCCTGGCTTATCCACAACTTCTTAACTAGTTTAATTTTCTTTCAGTTGAATTGATCTTTCTCTTTTAAATGAGAAATGAATCCTGGGGGGGGGTGTGTGTCATAGAATGAGGGGGGGGGAGGTTTAGATCAGAGCCCCCCCCGTCCCCAAGGAGACACGCTGCTTTTCCAAACTTTGCCTCCCCCCCCCAAGTCTTTGATTCCAACTCCCATCATCCCCTGCTGGCCTGGTGAGCACTTTCTGAGGGCATCAGGTTGGACTCAGTATAATTAAGCAGGATTGCAGTCTGGGAGGTGCGTAAAGGTGGAACTCTTTGACTTTAACGCAGTGTTTCTCAACCTTGACAATTTTAAGGCATGTGGACTTCAATTCCCAGAATTCCACAGCCAGCAATGCTGGCTGTGGAATTCTGGGAGTTGAAGTCCACATGCCTTAAAATTGTCAAGGTTGAGAAACCCTGCTTTAACGCCTTTTTGGGGCTTCAGGTGCAGCCCAATTTTTAACTTCAGCAAATGGTCCCCCATTGCTTTTTTTCTCCAGGATTCCCCCTCCTTCACCCTTTCTATTTCCCAGGCTCACCTTGTGGTCCCTCATCCTAATATTAATGAAGTTCCTGTGAGTTTCTATGCCCTGATAAAGCTGCTCCTGGTTAAGCTTAGTGAGATTTTAGTTTAGAGGTATCCCCCACTGGTCAAACCATGATGGAGAGGAAGCTGGTTTATTTATTAGTCTCCCAGTGAGTTTCTGTGGTTGAGAACGGAAGTAATCTGGCTCTTCCTTGCCTAGCTCCACTGTGATAATATACTTGGGAAAGGAGGATGCCTCAATTCCTGGCTTGATGCGAGTGCTTTTGTTTATCTTATAAGGAATCTTGTTCATCAAGAAATTTAGACAACTACTAATAATTGGGGGCCAGTTATTACAGGTAGTCCTCATTTAGCAACCGCAATTGGGATTAGCAATTCAGCTGTTAAGTGAAGTGGTGGCTAAGTGAAATGTAACCATGTTTATGAGCCTCCTTCAACTTTCCTTTGCTTTACACACTTGCAAAGATTGTTAGTGTAAGGCTCGGTCACAAAGTTCCTTTTTCATCACTGTTATAATTGCAAACAGTGGCTATACAAGATAGTCACTAAACAAAGAAAACCTGTAATTTTTAGCCTGGGTACTTACAAGGTTCCTGCTGGGAGGGGAAACATTTACTCTGCCTTGTGGATAAAGCAAATAACTACAAACACACAAAAATATATTCTGTACAAACTGTATCAGGGTGTTGGACAAAAACACAAATGGGGGTTACATTTATTAAAAGCTCTGCACGGTGCAGACAAACAGTTTTTAATTTCTCAAAGCAGTGTTTTGAGCTACATGCAAGCTACCGGAAGAGTGGGGATTAGAGATTTAAACTTTTAAAAACACTTTTTGCCTGCGTAATCAGCATGATTAAAGAGTCCTTGAGATTTCCTCCCCCCCATTTACTTCAGTAGCTACAGCTGTTGTTACTCTGCATCCCTGCAGGGAGTAATAGCAAATTGCATTGTTGAAACTACATATATCATCCATTCAGACCCCATATTAACTATCCCCCCCCATGTGAGAAACCATGTTTTTTTTTAAGCCCCGTTGCACCTTTTGCCATTTCTGTTTGCGCATTCTTGACCTGTGGCTACCTGAAAGGCAGTAGCCCTGAATACGTTGCTACTCCTGGGTGCTGTGAAATTGAAGTTCTAATAAATGTATTTAGTAGCATAATTCAAGATTGCTTTTAATTGGATCTGCCATATTATGCTCCTGTTATACCAAATAGGGATGCTTTGAGAAATAGTAGCTGGCTGTAGAAATGCAGTAATTATTCCTGAGCCAATCATATTTTTTAAAGTAATTTTATTAGTTTTTTTTTAAGTTTACAATTCATAAATGTTTATTAAATGACATGTTGTCTGGGTCTTAGCCTAATAACATAATAAAATCCTAATCTCTTTTTCCAGCCATTGGTAAAATACATCCTATATTTGAAAATATTTAATATCTTTCTTTAATCTTCAATGTGAGTCTATCCATTTTCTGCACATTCCAGTATTTTCTTAATTATGTCATCTTCAGATGGTGTTTCTTCATTTTTCCATTGCTGCGCAAAACAGTTCTTGCTGCTGTTAATACATGTACCATTAAATATACATTTTGTTTCTCATTCTTCCCTGAGATTATACCTAATAGAAAAAGTTCTGGCTTAAAATCTACATGTTTTCTTAACATTTTTTTCTAACCAGGTACGAATTTTTGTCCAAAATTTTTTTGCTTTGCTTTTGCTGAGCCAATCATATTAATAGGCTTTACCTTATATAATTGTCCACTTTGCTTTCCTCTTTCCCTCCTTTTTTTTTATATTTTTAACACCTGGTTCCCATGGAAAGGCTGTATTTGGAATAACATTGTGATTCACGGATGCCTTTTTCCGTTGGTTTAAATGTGGACTCTGCCCTTTTTGATTAGGTAACCACTTGTTTGTTTTCCATTTGAAAGAGAGTTAACTGAATTTGCTCAGCTTTAAGGAGAGCTTTGAGTTGAAGGGATAACTTGCTGTTTTGCGAGTATAGTTCGCTTTTGAATGTTAAATGTTTCACCTCTGTGTCAAACCGTGTAAAACGTTCTGAAATAGCATCTTTCATTTTGCAAACATTCCAGTAAGAAAGGTGCATAATGACACAGGAATGAAACAGGCATGAAAAATGTACAGGCGAGGAAGAAGTGTTTCTGATAATGTTTTACTTGGGTGAGGCTAATAAAACACATCCAAATAAACATTTCATACATGGCAAAATATGTAGCAATTTTAATGTAAAGTTCCATCTGGGTTGTTTCTCTCTGGGATAAAATAGGGCATTTCTTATATTTGAATATGTAGTGGAAAAAAATCCGCATTTGTAATTTATAATTCAGAGGTTAGAAACATGGATAGAAGATGCTGCAATTTCAACATCTGGTGATTAAAAGGGCCCCTATGATATTCCCGCAAAAATGTTCTTTTTAAAAATTCAGATAAAGATGTTTTTACTTCTCTAAAGAACTCGCCTTTCTAAAATCCCTTGTGTTGCACAGGAAATTCCTGGGTAAAGAAAATTTGCCTTTGCATTTAGAGGCAGCATAATAGCTGTACTTCTTTACTAAAAAGAATTAGGTGGAGCCGGTGTGCTGATATATAAAAACATAAATTCAAGACTGGGAAACATAGAAGACTACATAATTTTTGTATCATAATTTTGGAGATGTATCTTTAGTAACAAAGATAACTTTATACCATCAATAATGTTATAACTGAAGGCCATAGGGCAGTGGTGGCGAACCTATGGCACGCATGCCAGAGGTGGCACTCAGAGCCCTCTCTGTGGGCACGCGCGCCATGTCCCGGAGATGGCAACCGTCCCTCTTCAACGAGCCGCCCGCTAACTCACCGAGCTCCCACATGGCCATACGCATCCTAGCACGGCTGGTTTCCCTCCCCTCCGTCCCATTCCTCCTCCCTTCGCATGCTCTCCTTTCCCCGGGCACGGCCCACTGCATCTATGCTTCTCTGAACTGCTGGTAGTGGGCTGCGGAGCCCCAGAGTGCACCGGTCGAGGGGCCGGCAGGCTGTGGCTGCTGACGGACACCGTCGGCCCCCATGCGCTCGCTGGCCTCTGTATGCGGGGGCCAATGGTGTCAGGCAACAGCCACCCCATCCCCTGCTCCACCTTGCCCTGCGGCAACGGCACCCCTGCCCTGCCTCGCCTCGCCTTGCCTCACCCTGCAGGATGAGCCTCCTGCCCACCACCCCATCTGCCAGAGACCCCCTGGATCTCCCCCAACCCTGCCCAGCTCCCACTGGCGTCCCTCCCCATGAGCAACATTGAGGTGACCAAGCCCACCTTGGCCACACCCACCCAGTCTGCCATGACCACCACAGCCACGTCCACCCAGTGGGCCAGGCCCACCTGGCACCTGGTGATAAATAAGTGGGTTTGGGGTTGCAGTTTGGGCACTCGGTCTCTAAAAGGTTCGCCATCACTGCTGTAGGGTCATTTTTATGGGTGTGATGCTGCTGGCTTTTCTTCCCATTTATGCTATTTTCATTCCCTAAGTATTCAAACAATCTTTGCAGAGAAATATTACAGTAGTATCATTACCTATTAAGAACCGATTAAGATCCAAATCATGGCACTTTGTTTTGGTGTAGTTGTGAAAAGCAAATTTGCTCAAAATGAGAATGGAGGTCTGTGGTTTAACAGTTCAGAAATTGCGTTTTACCAAATGTTGATTCAGTTGTCATTAGATTTGCCAATATGCTTCTCTGCTACGTATTAGCCATCTCAGTACTGTATATTTATTTTGGAATATGATACTCTTCTAATAAACATGGCACGGGAAGGGCCAACTGAAGTGAGAAACATTGACTTTCCAGTAGTACAACTAACCAATAGCTGATCTTATATGCCCTAAAATGCAGAGCTGTCGGCTAATTTTTATAAATTCAATGATTTCTCATATTATCTGCTAAAACCTATTGTGGCAATGTTGAGGTCTGTTAGCTCAATGGTGCTTAACCTTTTTGAATGAATCGCCCCCTTGAGCCAATGAGGAAGTTGTCATCGCCCCCCTCCCCCAACATAACCTCTCAATCACAACATAGGAAATAATTCTTCAATTTATGCAAACACTTTTATTTATTTCCAGTCTTTTTCCCATATCTCCCATATTCTGGCCAATGGCGTGCCACTGTATGGGTAGAGGCTGCTGTACAACGCGCATGAAGATAAGCGATGCGTCTTCACATATGTACGGCGTTCTGTACTGAAGCTAGCTGGAGGAACATTTGAAAACAATTCAATCCAC